CTGTCCTGCCCCGGGCTGGTGAGACCCACGCCGCTCACATCACTCCCTTTCCCCGCTGCATCCCCCACGCAGGCTCACACCAGCCCTCCCCGGGGAGCTGGGCGGCAAAGCAAAGGCTCAGCTCGGAGCGGGCACCAGCCTGGCCACAGCACCCCGGCACAGCCACCCCAACCCCCCCCCCTCAGCCCAAAGCCTCTCTGCAGCCAAACCGAGGTGCTGCCCCGTCCCGCTGCCACCAGCCCGGGGACCCGCAGGAACCGAGCACGCAGGGCCGAGCCCGGGTGAAGCTGCCTGGCGAGAGGGGACAGGGGAGAAAGGGGGCACGTCCCCCCAGACAGCGCTGCAGAGGAGCGTGCAGGCAGCAGGAGGGGCTGGTTAACGCCACGGGGAAGCTGCCCGCTGCTACGGAGAAGCAACGCTCCCCACTTCAGGGCAGCACCGGCTCTCTGCGGCCCCAAGCCCAGGCCGGCTGGCTGGGCACTGCATCGGCATCCCCGCCCACCGCGGTGCTGCAGCGTGCCAGAGGCACAGCTCCCTTCCCTCGCCTCTCCTCCCCAGCCTCCAGCCTCACGTGTTCCCCCCCCTGGAGCTGCCCCGCTCCTGGGAAAGCCCGGCTTTGGAAGGCCGACGCTTGACAGCGTGGGTTTGACCTGCAATACCGCATTTCCCTGCCCACAGAGGGACAGGGAAGGAGGCGGCTGATGCAGTTGGCTCAACGCTGAAGGGATGGAGCGGGGCGGGCAGGGAGCTCTGCGGCACCCCCGGCCAGCCCAGGCAGGCCCCCGGGGCCCCTCGGGGCCCAGCTCTTAGGGGCAGGACACCGGGCAGGGCTGCAGAAAGCAGCCGGCGATCCCAGCCTTGCAAGAGGCAAGAAGGAGCCGGGTGAAGTCGAGGGGCGCGAGGCCCGGCTGTGTCAAACGGAGGCAGACAGAGCTGGAGGAGGGCTCTGGCTCCCTGGGGCTGCGGGGAAGCGCAGCTGGGTGCTCGGGAACCCTCTCCCTCCCCCCCCGGCAGAGCTGGGAGCAGCAGCGGCGGCTCTGGCGGGGGGCGG